TTCATGCAAATCTTAAAGAATATGACATCTTAGTTCATTCCCTAAATGAATGTGAATTTTCTTATGATGTTGTCTTAGAATTACTATTGCTGTGATGAAACATCATGACAAAAGCAGGCTGGGCAGGAAAGGGTTTATTTGGCTTACACTTCCACACTGTAGTCCATCATTGAAGGAAATCAGGATAGGAACTCAAGCAGGGCAGCAACCTGATGCAGAGGTCATGGAGGAGTGCTGCTTACTGGTGTGTTCAGCCTATTATCTTATAGAATGCAGGACCACCAGCCAGGCATAATATCGCTCACAAAGGGCTGGGCCTCCCCCATCAATCACTAATTAAGAAATGCCCTATGGCAAAATCTTATGTAGACATATTCTCAAATGAGTCTCCCTTTCTCAGATAACTCTAGCTTGTGTCAAGTTGACATAAAACGAGCCAGCATAGGTGTCAAAGACGGGCGTAGAAAAGCAGCATAATTAAAGAGGTGAAGTTTACTGCACAGCAGCTGCTAACCTAGAGAAGTTATCTATCTGGGGCCCAGCTTGTCACAGTCTGCCTGGCGTGCACTAACAAGAATCCAGTGACTGGTGTCTTGCTCTTCTTCCTCTGCTCGCAGCTCTGCAGAGTGTGGAGCAGGAACTGGCTGAGGTGTCTGGTGAGAGCCTGCCTGCTTTACCAGCAGCTAGTGTCCTCACATGGTAGGGGAAAGGAGAACTCCAGGAGGCCTCTTTCCCATCACCCATTGGGTTTAGACTTCAACAAATCATTATTGAAGGAACATAAACACTGAGGGTGTATTCCAGTTAGTGTCCACCCGTGGGTTCAGGGCCTGTGCTAGACCCTGCTGTTCCATTAAACCCTGCTTCTTGAAAGTTCTCTGTTCTATTTCATTCTTCTGAATACCAAGCACCCAGTGTGTGGAATCTTGGTGGACAAACTGCTTAAACCATGCACCCATTCTATTTCTGTGACAAGAGCCTGAATGAACCAAGTGGGGACAGTGTACTTTGCTGCCTCTAAACCCTAATGATGTTTTTAAAACGAAACATTTTTTAAAGCCCTTTTCTCCCTTCCCACTTTCCATTTGGTTCCCATGAGGGTCTCACAGGGAGGAAAATCTAAGCATTAAGCATAAAGGACCACATGTCCCTCCCTTCACATCTACTTGTAAGACATTACCTCAGGTTTGGCAGCGTAGGATTCCTTCCTCTTTCCTATAGTGTGGGATTAACCCAGGAGGCTTCTTGGTTCCTTGTGAGCTTTGGCTCCTGGGGGTTTTCCTGCCAGGGTTATCTGTCCAAAACCCAAATCTGTGCAAAGCCCATGGTGTTTAAACGAGAACCCTCTGTCGTGTCATCAGACTCACGCCATCTGGAAAAAGACCCAGCCAAGGAGAATCGCGATGAGTCACCTGGGAGGCTGCGATGAATGATTCTCCACAGATAATTGACCGAGTGGATTATGTACATGTAGAAAACGAAAGAGCAGTAACTAAATTTTATGTAACATTTATGGTTTGCAAAACTGCTTTCCTGTGACTTGTCTTATTTGATATAATCATCACAAAGATTGAAACTGTTTAAGGTTTCCCACAATGATTTGAGTTCTGTAAGTTTGTTGGCAAGCCAGCCGTGTGAGGCTTGAATACATCTGTCCCTGTGGACTTGTATAATTCTGGGCTATTTAGTTGAGAAACTCTTAACGATGCTGGGCATTATGGTAAACCACATGTGGATGTGGGTGGCTGGCATTTCGGGGACCTGGGGTTATAGGAAGTGAAGTTTCCCTGTTGGAACAAATTGGTGCAAACATCTTGGTCACCACGGTCCATAAAGAGTTAGTGAAGCAGACTAGGGTTAGCAGACCACAGTAGGCATGGCAATTAAATCTGAGTGTGCACATTGACCACTGTGTGTCATGTGATTTTCAGTAGGGAGAGGCATGTGGGATTTGAGTTTAGGGAGTATCTTAGAGATTCTATTGCTGTGAAGAGACACCATGACCATGGCAACTCTTATAAAAGGAAAACATTTAATTGTGGTGGCTTACAGTTCAGAAGTTTAGTCCACCGTCATCATTGGAGGGAGCGTGATGGCATACAGGCAGACCTGGTGCTGGAGAAGGAGCTGAGAGTTCTTACATCTTAACTCACAGGCAACAACTCAACGGGCAAGTGTCTCACAGGGCATGTCTTGAGCATATGGGGGCCTCAAAACCCACCTCCACAAAGACATACTTCCTCCAACAAGGCCACACCCTTTGGGGGTCATTTTCTTTCTAACGACCACAGGGAGTGAGGAGAGGATGGATTGTACAGCTAGCAGGATGTACACTGAGATACAACTATTCTATCTCTTCTGGCTATTCTAACTCTTGCTTGGATGAATCATGAAGCAATAACATCGCTGCACCCTATAGTTTAGTTTCTCAGTTCAAAACTGGAGATCTGCTGTCTGGTCCATCTCACAGTGACAGCTAAATTAAGGTATATCAAGGCCCTTTGAAAAGTGTTACACAAACACAAAGAATGTTTGTTTGCTTGCTTAGTGATACGGGGACCAAACCCAGATCCTTGCACTTGCTAGGCAAGTGTGCCACCACTGGACTCCATCCCCATCTCTCAAACTGTCATTCTTATTGCTTGCCACTTCTTTAGTCCACCTGTATTCACTTCTAGCTGTAAACAGCTTGAGGTTTGAAAGGTGATCCTCTCTTCCAGTTCTGCTGAGCTCAGGCCTGAGAAAAACCACTCTTAATCTCTACCTAGTAATCTTTGGAGGAATTGGTTCCACTGGACTTACCTTCACCCCAGTGGTGGTGACCGGGGAGTTAGGACCATGGGACTGTAGGGAGGAACAGTGCTTGGTGAAGATAGCTGAGCAGCAACTTTTCCTACTCGGCCTTGCCTTTCCTGATTCTTGCTCTCTGGACTGTATGGCCATCTCAGCGGATGCCAAGCCAAATGTGATACATGTCACAGGCGAACATCAGAGGGGCTGGTGAAAGACAAATGTGAGGATGAACCAGAGAGCTGGCCTGCACAGAACTGGAAGCAGACTGTCCATTTGCTGAGCGATCTGGCCCTTTCTGCTTTCCTCGCTAGCATCCCATCAGAGTGTCCCCTACTGCGTTTCTACTTTTATTGATTCAACAAATGATTAGCAAGCAGTCTGTACATTGTTCCAGGAACTCTGGCCTTCATAGGCTTCAACACCTGTGTATACTGCCCTAATTTGCCTTTCCAGGATTTTGTAAACCAACTGCAAGTCAGGCATTACCTCTTTTTAGCCTCTTGTGAAGGTTTAACTGTGACTGGAGGGATCTAACAGTTTTCTAGAAAACCAGAGTCACAGTCGGTTTTGATTGCTGTGTTCCTTCCAATCCCCAGGGCAGTTCCCATTGGTCTTCAGTCTAGAGGCATCCATAGGGTAAGAAAGACCTGGAACTGTGAACTTTGTTTTCGCCCAGCGTGACACTGCATCCAGTGAAGTAGGTTGACTAAAGGAGGACCAGCCAAGAGAAGCAGCAGCCCATCAGCATCTCTGCCTGTGACCTGCAGCCCCTCTCTAAGGAGGATGCAAACGAGATGGGGGAAGGGACACAAGAAGTTCAGTGCATGTCTGTAGTGTACTGGGCTAGAAACTGGGAGTCTGTGTATGTGGATTATTACAGAAATAGTTCTGTCGGGGCCAGGGGACCAGGAAAGCTGCCACTTGGATAATCATCCCAACTGGAGCTGAGCTTCTCTAAAGATGTATGTCATGGTAACTTGGGTTTGAGTAGAAGAAGTAAAGAAAAAAATTCTTTATAGCCATTGTGTCAAATACAGATGGCCATGGGGTGGTGCGACAGGGAAGGCTGGGCACATTTGAGGCTGCCAGCCAGTTTGGCCTATGTTGCCCAGGCCCCTAAGCTCACACAGGGAAACGCTTGCCTCTCAAATAGCGCATCCTGTACTTGCTGGCAGGGTGTCCCTTAATGTCTCTCCTTGCAGATAAGGCTTCCACACATCTGGATATCCCCTCAGTGGTGACCGCAGTGGTGCTCGATGGTACTGGCTGGAGGACAGTCCACATATGTTTGTGCTGGTCAGACCGATGTGCAGAGTTCACCAGCACCACTGGAAGACCGGACGATGGAGGCTGGGGTCTCTTCAGCTTGCCATTTAACTGTTACTCAGAAGAGGTCTCATATTCTGTGACATGAACCTGTGCCTTTTCCAGGTGACACATTTGATCACCTTCCCTCCCAGGAGCAAGCACAGACTCTTCATGGCATGTTAGAATATCCCCAGTACACAGATTGGGGAAGGACATTTAACCCACCAGAGACAGACCTGACCAAGGCAGAGTGACACTCACCTAGGGCTGAGATGACTGTACTGAGGGGTTCTCCCAGGAGGGGACTTGGAACTGGAAATCATTCTCCCCAGGAAACTCATAATTTTTCTTTGTGTGAGGCAGTGGGGACAGTCGGTCTAGGCTACTGGGCTGCCTTGCAGAGGAAGACCCAGGAGACCTTCCTAATGCCACCCTCCTAATAGGACAGCTCAGAAGGCTTGTGTCAACAAGCCCTGCACAGTTTGAATAAACGTGAATGACTAACGTTTTCCCTGCAAGCAGCAGGAACGGACAGGCCTGCTGGGAAGAATTCCTTTGCTGTAAACCATGCTGTCTCCTGAACCCATCCAGCATGTCTCTTGTCTCTTCCCTTCTTTCCATGTTTCCAGGCCTTCAGCAGATGATGGGAGGGACCATTTGTTGAGTCTGTCCAGACCCTAAATAGTTCTTGGTCACTGAAGTGTGTAAAAACATGGCAGCGATGCAGGTGCTATTGTCTAGAAGTGTTTACAAAGAAAGGGAGGAAAGAGCAGTTATTTGACAGAAAATGACACATTGCACTAATACTGTAAGGCTCTTGCTTTTAATGTGTGGTCAGTGAATAGGACTGTTGGCATCAGCTCCCATTTAACTAGGTCTGTATACAGCATGCTGGAGCCTGGTAAGTGCCTCTGGCTTTTTTTACAGGCAGAGTTTTGGTGCCTTGGGGTCTGGGCCATGGACCAGCAAGATGTGCCTGCAGGCAGGGAGTGGTCAGAGCTCCTAGCTGGCCAGATTGGGAACTGTGGCTACAGTAAATTGTCAGTACCTATTCATGTTCCTCCTGAAGCTTACTTTACCCTACTCTCCAGCCTTCTCATGCCCCTGCCTCAGGATGCCTGTGCTGTGAGGCACATCCGATCACCTTCCTCATCCTCAGGGAGAACATTGAATGCATGAGAGGCTAAGAGGCAGCCGGCGGAGTATGCCCTCCTCTGTTGAGTAGCAGCAGTGTTGTTCTGATGGGGAATTAGTAAGAATGGGAGCACTTAGACTCTGAGCACTTTCATAGAATTCTTTTCATGTCTAGAAGCAAGATCCAAAGATCCATAGTGTTCATTCAGCAAGGACAAAAACACAAGCAAACTAAATGGCTGGAAGGGCCCAGAAGGCTTACATACAGCTTTTGCGGATGATGGGAGGTGCATGTATGACGCTGACATTCATGTCCTCTGCTGCCCTGATGCTCTCAGATACGCTGCAGCCTTCTGACTGTGGGGCACATCTTGTGTTGCCTTTGTGAGCTCATGCTGAACAGCAGTGTAGAATGGTGAGTTCTCTTTCATCCTTTCTACCTGATGATTTTTTAAAAAAATATTTAAAGAAATATTTTTATTTTATGTACATTGGTGTTTTACCTGCATGTCTGTCTGTGTGAAGGTAGCAGATCCTCTAGGACAGGAGGTACAGACTGTTGTGAGTTGTCATGTGGGTGCTGGAAATGGAACCCCAGGTCCTCTGGAAGAGCAGTCAGTGCTCTTAACCACTAAAGCCATCTCTCCAGCCACCCTTTCTATACAATCTTAAAGCTCTAAAATCTGGAGGAAATATAGCAGCACTTATCTAACTTCAGAAATATGTTTGAGCAGGCTGGAGAGATGGCTCAGTGCTTATGAGTAGTTGCTGCTCTTTCAGGGGACCAGGGTTCAGTTCTGATCACCCATATGGTGACCCACCACAATCTGTAACTCCAGTGCTGGGGATCTGATGCCCTCTTCTGGCCTCCACGGGTACTGGGCACACACAGGGCATGTTTATGTTTTTTTTTTAATATATATTTGGAATGAATAGAGACTCTATGAAAAGGGTAAAAAGAATCTGCAAACAACTTAGCCAAAGGGAAATGATCCAGTAGAAAGGAAATGATCCTCATTTGGGGTCTACTGTGTACTTTGTATGTTACAGTTTTGTCCTCATAAATCCTTTGTGGGTGTTTCTGTTTTACAATAGAAGTGTATGAGGAGTGTACCAAGAGTGAACAGCTCAAGGACATGGGATCTAGATTTGGATCCTTTATGTTTGACTCCAGAGCAGAAGCAAAATTTCCCGTTGATAGCCTGCATCTGTCACTAGAGGGTAGTGGATACTACAACCCACCCACCCCCATCCCCAGTGAGACAGCTAAAAACATCTCCAGATGATTTTAAATGTTCCTTTCAGGTTATAGTTTTGTGTTGAAACATACTGATTCAGAGACTTGATCTCTCCCTTTCTCCTTCTTTTCCTCTGCCCTCCTCCCTCTGTCTCCTCTCTCTGTTCTGTGTCTCTGTCTCTCTCCCTCTCTCTCTGTCTCCTCTGTCTCTGTCTTTCTCTGTCTCTCTGTCTCTCTCTCTCTCATCTCTCTCTCTCTTTGTTCTGTGTCTCTGTCTCTCTCTCTGTCTCCCCCCTCTCTCTGTCTCCTCTCTCTGTTCTGTGTCTCTCTCTCCCGATCTCTCTGTCTCCCCTGTTTGTCTCCTCTCTGTCTCTATCTTTCTCTGTCTCTCTATCTCTCTGTCTCTCTTTCTCTCTCTCGTCTCACTCTCCCTCTCTCTCTGTCTCCTCTGTCTCTTTCTCCTCTCTCTGTCTCTATCTCTCTTTGTGTGTCTCTGTCTCTCTCCCCCCCCTTCCTCAACCTTCCCCTTCCCTCTGTATCTCTGTCCCTTTCTTATTACCACTGAACACTCCAAACAAAGTTTGGGGAGTAACTTTAAGGATTCAGCAATTATGTTTAAACATGTTTTTACCATAAAAGTGATTTTTTTAAAAAGCCATTGTGAATTATTAGGACAAAATAATAAACTGTTTACAGTCTTACCACTTAGAAGTTTCCTCTTTTGGCATCTGGGCTGGGGGGCCTTTTTTACTTTAGTAATTTCTTCTTCATGGGTAGTCTTAAAAATAACGCTTCAAATAAAGGTTTTTAAATTACGTGTGTGTGTGTGTGTGTGTGTGTGTGTGTGTGTGTAGGGGGTGCTATGTGCACACGAGCAGAGGCCAGAAGACTGGGTTAGAGTCTACCAGCAGACATTACAGAAGGCTGTAAGCTTCCTGTTGTGAGTGCTGGGAACTGAACTCAGGTCCTCCGCAAGAACAGTAAATGTTCTTAACCACTGAGCCATCTCTCCAGACTTTATAAATATTATTTATGTACATTTTGTAGTAAATATTACTGTAAAATATTTTTCTATGCCTAACAAGTCAATATTATTTTTAGCAATTGCATTGCATTCTATTCTATATACAGTGCAAACATTGCCCCAAGTGGTGGACATTTATAGTTTTTCCAATTTATTATCCTCATAAATATTTCCTCAGTGAATATATATGCACTTGGCCCTTTAAGTAGACTCTTGATAAATTCCTTAGCATGTACATTTCTGAGAAAAGAATAATTCAGCCAAGATCTTTGTATTTTTAGTTTCAATTTCCTAATTACTGTCAGATTGCTCAAAACTGTTTAAGTGATATATGTAGTGTTTCTCCCTCAGTCTCCCTCCTTCCCCTCTCTCTCCTTTTCCTCTCCTCTCTTCATGGACATTATTTTTCCACTTGTTTTCTGTGAGCACCATCCTTTAAAAAATGCCTTTGACAGATGAAAGTGACCTCCTACTGTTTTAATTAGTATTTATTTCAGATCTACAAACTTGAACACCGTTCCTTCCCTGTTTTGCATGTATTTGTTTCTCTTATTCGTTGAAGTGTTCAACACGACACACTCCTTCATCAGCTCTAGTTGTACCTGGCGCTTTCGTGTTTTCACGTTCATGTGTTAAGGTTTTTAGTTTGCATAGGATACTGGGGTGAAAATCTGGGAGAACTGGAATTGTGTGGTGGCCACCAGGTGGTGCCATTGGCTCAGAATGGAGTCACTGCTCTGGCAAGTAGGAGGCTGTTAATTAAAATATGGTCATAAAAAGATGGGTGAGGTGGTACAGCGCCTAAGAGCTCTTTGCCTAGACAGGACACCATTGGTCGAGTTTGTAATTAGCCTGACAATAATCAGGAATGAGCCCAATGCATTTGTGTGTATTCTGAAGCAGGTCAGGGCCTTTTTCAGTTTTGTTTAAAATATGCGACAGCTGTGAGGAAACATTTTGCATCCTATATAGTTGCCTAATAAAGTATACAATCTCATGGTTTAAGATATTTGTATCACAACAATCCATTTTATAATATTTTGTATCCCCCATCCCTGTCATTTCCCCAGCCCCCTCTCCCTTTCCCAAATCCCCCAAAGCACTAATGTGGCTTCTTGTCACAGTGATTCCATATCAATGGACCCTCCTGGAGGTGTTCTTTATGATGAGGGTACTTATTACTGTTACTCCGGACTTACCAGTACTGCCCTACCTGACTTCCCTGAAGGAGACATGAGCACTTCCCTATCTACCTAAAATAGCCTCTCTACGTGATGGCTCTTCGATGGTTAGCCCAGAATGCTAAAATGGAAGATTTCTGAGCCCCAGCCTCCCAGGAGCTTAGGTTTGGTGCAGTGGGCATCTAATGCTGGTGAGAATTCTTGGTCAGTAACTCACGTGACTCCACTGATGACCGAGCTGGTCATAGTGGAGAAGAAAAAAAGCAGACCCTTTGCCTGAAGCTTACTGTGCCTGTCCCAGCTTCAGTCCCTGTGTTCCTGAGCGGGCTGTAATGGCTGCTTCCTGTCAAATGGGCACCCTTGACTCGGCCTGACAACAGGACATATCTGAAGGCCATCAAAACCAGTGACATCAACCTTACTTACTGTTCAGCTGGCAAACAGAGCCCAGCACAGCAGAAAGAATGCTCAGTTTGCTGCCTGAAGCTCACCCGAATATTCCACTGCCTGGTGCCTGGGGCTGTTGTGAAGACTAGATGAGAAGTGACACACTGAAGCAAACCAGCACCTTAGACAGAATCAAGGGACAGGCTGGGACTGAGCGGACTTCCTGTCCACCGACCTCCCTCATGGTAAATCGAGTCTGCAGAGGAGAAGATCTTTGCTGAAGGCCGTTGGTGCAGGGCCAACCGTGAATCTGGGAGCCACAGATTTGTGTCCTCTTCTCTTCCTTTCCCCCTCCTTTCCAAAATCCCTCCCTTGGGATGGGAAGACTTTCAGAATTAAGTAGACTCTAGTCTCATTTATTCGTGGCTCCAGATCTCGAGGATCTGAGATGTCATTTGTGTGGAATGAGTAGGAGTTGAAATCATGACAGCTGCAGAAGTCATGGTGGTCTTCACAGGAACAGCACAGAGCAGAGTCAAGTTCAGTAGGGCCTGAAGCTTGTGGAACTTGGACCCCCTAAGCTAAGAAAAACAATACAAACTTATAATTTCAAAAGGTCTGGGAGAGATGACTCCATAGTTAAGAGCACTGGCTGCTGTTGCAGAGGACCAAGGTTGATTTCCCAGCACCTTACAACTGTCTCAAACTCGAGTTTGGGGAACTTAGTGCCCTTTTCCGACCTCTGCAGACATCGAGCATATACAAGATGCATGTGGTGTGTGTGTGTGTGTGTGTGTGTGTAGGAAAAGCACCCATATACATAAGATTAAAAATAATGATAGCTGCAAGGCCCGTAAAGCAGTTCATACAAATGAGGGGCCTCATTTCACTTCACTGTCAATCTTCTCTTAGGACTTGTGAGACGGGACCCACCTTTTTGTTTATATAAACGACACCAGGTGTCCTGAGAAGCATTTTATAACCCTCTACCCTCATGGAATAAAGACCATCCTGGAAATATACATACACTGAACGCCTGTCAATGTGAGAAACACCAAAGAGAGTGGAGAGGTCAGGACTGCACCGCCTCACTCGGTGTGGGGTTGCTAAAGCCCAGGGTGAACACTGAGGCCCATTCCTCTCCCAGCTCTCCACATCTTTAGTTTCTTCTCAGAGACTCTTTCATGGTCATTCTTCTTTTGGGTGCTCTGTCCAAAGAGGACTTCCGTACAGGTGTGAGTGAAGCCCATTAGCATCATGGGATGAAAATATTTTCAAAATTTACACCGATTTTTGATGTCAGGTCCCTTAAATCCACACCATTGCCTTGAAGTGAACAGAAGGAATGCTTATGGTCAGGGTGCCCTTTGCCTAAAGTCCCAAAACAATAGTAGAAACGAACACCCCAGTACTTCATGCCAAAGCCCACAAAATTTGTTCTTATTCTGGAAAACAACACTTTCATCCATGCTGTCTATGTAAATAATAACAGCATTAGACTTTCCCTTTTTCTCCTTGTTTTTAACCTGCTCTCGACACATTCCAAACAGTAAACATGGAATTAGAGATAAATCTGGGCTCAAAAGAGCTTGGTTGGTTGAAGAAATGTCATTCTGTTTGCTTCATTCATCCTTCGTTGTTGGCTCCGGCTTCGCTGAGTTTCTGTGAAGAGGACATTCAGGTGGTGGTGGTGGTGAGTCCCCTTAGGTAAACATGGCAGTGTTTCCCTTTCTTCAGAGCTCCCTTGGATTTCAGGGAGAAGTGACAAGGGATTGTGTGTCATCGTGCCATTGCAGATTCGCTAGCTTGAATGGCAGTCTGAGCATTCTTCAGAAACGAGCCTCTGGGACCTTGCAGTACAGAGGGCAGTAGATTCACAAGCCCTCGGTAAAGTGCAGGATGGAGGGCTCTGGAACCTGTGGTCTGACACATGCGCGTTCATTTCTGATGTCATAACCAATCCTGTCACTTGGGTGTCCCTCCCTGTTTTGAATCATGGGATTCAAACATCCTCAGGAGTACTTCCTGGATAATTCCTAAACTTTTAACAGATCAATCCTAAGGGGAAGGGGTAGTAAACAACAATACAGAACACCAGAAGGGTATTTACAACATGGTTTCAATTTTAAAAAATTAAGTTTTCTTCTTCAAATCCTGTACCAGCCATTAAACAAACTGCTTAGTAGGCAAACATTAAAAACCACTTCCATTCGAGATTTTGGATCTTATAATAGGTTAGTTGGTATTGGAGAATTGAGCCAGGGCTATCCCTTTAAATGATAACTCTAGGGGCCTATGAGATGACAAAGCAGGTAAAGGCATCTTGCTGTGCAAGCCTGACAACCTGAGTTTGATTCTTGGAACCGCATAAATTTACAAGAAAATGGATGCCACGGATGTTATCTGACCTTCACACACGCATTATGGCACACACTCATGCCAATATACACCATAAACTCACAGAAACAGCTGACCTGAACAAGGGGGAGCTCATAGACCCCAGATTGATAACTAGGAAACCAGCATAGGACTGATCCAGACTCCCTGAACGTGGATATCAGTTTGGAGGTCTAGTTAATCTATGGGTCCTCTGGTAATGGATCAGTATTTATCCCTAGAACACAAATGGACTTTGGGAGCCCACTCCACATAGTGGACACTCTCAGCCTAGACACTCAGAGGAGCGCCTGGGCCCTGCTCCAAACGATATGACAGACTTTGAGGATCCCTCATAGAGGGCCTCACTCTCCCTGGGGAGCAGAAAAGGGTGGGATAGGGGGTTGGTGGGGGCAGAGGATGAGGGGAGAGGAACTGGGATAGACATATAAAACAGGCTTGTTTCTAATTTAAATAACAAAATAAAGCTAAAACCCCAACCACATCCCATAAGATCCAAACACCCTGTGGGTCAGCCTGGAGGAAAGTGACTTTACTTGCTGTTGAGGCATATTATAAAAGACACTCACAGAGACAAGCTGGCACCTTCTGGACCCTCGTCTTCCAGACGCCGTGCTGTTTGCCAGTTGCCCAGGTCCATTTACCTCTACTCCCACTCAGCTTGCCATTGGCTAGTTCTTCATTCACACCTGAGTCTGAGGGTGAGGAAATGGACATTTAGCAAGTGTGCTATTATTATCACCTGTTCATAGAGGAGGACACTAGTATGCAAAGAGGTAAGACTGTTTGTTCAGGATCACGTATGTCAGTGCTTCTCAACCTTCCCGGTGCCGAGACCCTTTAACACAGTTCCTCGTGTTGTGGTGACCCCCCCACCATAAAATTATTTTTGTTGCCACTTCATAACTGTAATTTTGCTACTGTTATGAATTGCAATGTAAATATGTGATATGCAACCCCTTTGGGAGGTTGCAGCCCACAGGTTCTGAAGAGCTGACACAGATCCTGTGCATTATAAAATGATGACCACAACTGACTTTTATTAAACATCTAATATTGGCCAGAATTCGCACCAAAAGAAAAAAAACCAATAAGAAGAGTATTTTATTCTTATGCTGCCCCATATGTTGGTATTTTTAGTGTCTTCCTTTTACACATAAGGCTATACAACCAATCTGATGAAGCCAAGATTCCAACTCAAGCATCAGACCACAGAGGCTGTCTGTGCTTTCAGGACCTAGCCTTCTCTATGCCTGGCCACTCCTCACACTGGTCACCAGCCCCATGCGGCTCCTCGGCAGGTGCCAGATGAGTCACTTGGATTGCATAATTGCATAGTACACAAAATACATTGGAGTGTGGAAAAAGAATGTAAAACATCCCAATGTAGCTTTTATACCCATTGTATGTTGAAATAACAGTAATCTGGATATACAAAGGTAGACTAAAATGAAGAATTAAAACTGAGTTTCACCTGCTTCTTTTTATTTTCTAAAATGAGGCTACCAGACAACTTTCAGTTATATATGAGGTTTATGTCAGGTCCTGCTTTGATATACTATTCCAAAATTTATAGAGACTGAAACTTTTCCAGGCCAAGGTTGATGCTCCTAGTTAACCCTAGTTTTGGTTAGGATGAAGAGGTTCCTGGTAATCTTAAATGTAAATCCTCTGTCGTTTATGGATCTGGCATTGCCCACATTATCATGCATAGGTAAGAGAGAAATCAAAGAGATTAGCTGGGCGATGTTTCCTTTGTCTTGCTGACTGTGTGCTGCCTGCTGTCTTCTGGTCTCCACCGTGTGAGTTCCTCATACCCCGCCCCCTGCCCCCCATCTTTGCGTTACCTTTCATTTGTGTTTCCTATCACATGCCTTGAGAGCCCACCTCTAACTGTAATACCTGACTTATAACTTAAACAAGTGCCTAGTCCCTTTTTTTTTTCTGTTGCTGTTTTATACCTAATGACTCTTGCCGGGCAGAGATTGCATGGGTATATGAGGAAGAAGTTGCAAGTGCTTGTGGAAATGGGAAGCCACAAGCCAGAGAAACATCACCAAAGCTTGGTAGAGGTTTACTTTAGGCATCCCTCCCCATAGCACACACATCACGTGCTTTCCCCACTCCCCTCCCCCAGGGCAAAAAAAAATTTTAATGGTAATATCTGCTAAAAGTCAGAAACAGAAAAGAATGTGCTGCTTGTTCAAAGTAAATGTTTGTGTTAGTAATTTACAAAGGATACTTACTTATCCACAGCAGCTTTGGGTGGAGAGAGGAGACGAGAGATTACTGCTTACTGCAGTTACTACTTGGTAAGGCCAAGTTAGAGTACTCTGCCACGATGCAGAAGCCTTTCCTGACCCAAATTGAGGCCTTTGTCTTATACCGAAGACTAGGGTTAGGGATCAGGGATGGACACTGACATTGTGGGATGATTATGTATACAAACTGTGTACCCCTAATCTATGCCGGTGTGGGGCTTGGTACCCCAGGATAGCTGGACTGTGGTCTGGCACAGTAGTGCTGGGCCATGCTACCCCTCTGTTCATTCTGTGCCGCTGGGATTTTACTCTGTTTTGACAGTGTGTTCCCTGTGGCCTGCTTCCCTTTAAAAGTCCAGGCTAGCTGGAAAGCTGAAGGGGGTAGAGATCATTAAATAACCTTGAGCCTGGGGGGGGGCAGAGGGTCATGTCTACCTTCCTGAGTCTTGTACTCACCCCTGCTCATCACTGCCCTTTCCTGAGGCTTCTGTGGTTCTCCTTTATTTGTTGGATGTTTTAACCGTGGACCCTTTTTGTCCGATTAGGTGTTTCTTAATTGTTTTGCTGGGTCTAGTTTGGCCTCTGAAGTCTGCTCACCTTGATTTTTATCTGCCTACCATGTACTCTCTCCCACCTGAGACCCTGACATAGCCCCACTAGATTTGTTAGCTGGTAAAGCAGGGGCCCTGGAGCTCCTGTTGGCGAATCGCCTCTTGAACATCAAACCATCTTAGAAGTCCGCTAAGATGCAGATACGTTATGCAGTGGGTTACAGCTTATTTATCATTGCTCGTGGTTTTGATAATTCCTCATTATCATATAGCTTATTAGTCAGCACTCATCATTGTGGAATGACACACAGGCCTCCAGGACAAAACAGGAAGCAAAGTGCAGCTGGGGATGGAACCAGATGCTGGAGCACGCAGACTTAGCGTAGTCTCGTACCTCCTGGATCCTTCCCTGATCCCCACCACCTCCACGATGGATACATCATTCTAGCGCCAAAACTGATGATACCTTAACATGGGCCCCACTCTGATGAGCCATAGAACTTCACACTGGAATAGGATAAGGTTCTTAAAGCAGCAAATGGGGGCCTTTAACCTCAGTATAAAGGTATGCCCGGCCTCTGTATAATTCGATGAGTCGATTCTTTATTTCAGACAACAAATGAAAGTCAGATGAAGGAGCCAGAAGCTCTTCTGCACGTCTCTTACTCAAAATGGCTTTTCTTAAACCTTCCAGGTTCTCAAGTCTCCCAGAAACTGTCTCACGTCCAGATTATTCTGTTTTATTTTTTTGTGTTTTGTATGTATTGAGAGAGGCAGGGCTCATGGAGGCTTCATGAAAATTAAATTCATAGAATAAAATTTGAACTTTGGCAATCGAGTAAACAGCCAAAACAAATACACTCTGGTGAAAAAAAAAGTAGACATTTTCTTCTTTTGAAAAGCAAGCAGTGTCTAAGCAAAATACCTTAAAAGTGAACCGAAAAGCTTTTCAAAAATAAACAACTCTGCCTGGGACCCTAAATTGGGACCACATGGAGCTGTGGAGCCTACAAATGCCATGCACCCAGGCTCCTCCATCCTCCCTTCACTGCTCCGGTGCCTTGAGTAGCTCTTGTAGCCTCTGGTCTTGAAGGAGCCCTATGGCTTTAGATCCTAGTATGAGTTTTAGATACTAGTATGAGGGGGAGAAGGCAAAAGCAAGAAGAGGAATGAAAACAAGTGCCTTTCAGTCCAAACATCTGAAAAATAAGTTTCACCTGTGGATCTGCCAGACTCACCCAATGCAGATCTCTCCCTGTGGGCTTGCGGGGGCTGAACTTGGGAAAGGCCAAGCTTGAACTTGGGAGTGGGATGCAAGGATTGTAAGCAAACTGCGCAGGCCAGGCCCTGCCCTGAGGCAAATCCGGGAGAAGTCAAGTGGGCATAGGTAGAATCATCCCATTATTTTTTCCCATTCACCAAGTGTTGTGTGCTTTGGGGTCATATGTCATGAGTCAAAGGAATGCAACTATTGCCACATAAGCCCTGCCCATTTTAAACGCCTTTCACTAATAGGGTGGAGGAGTTGGAGAACACAACCTCCATGTTGAAGAGGGAAGGGCGGCATGCTCATTTCTTCATGAATATTTTTCTTCCTCCATGTGCTCATGGTCTGCCCTTCCCAGTGGGCATTTGTGTCCACATGGACATCTTTTGTCCCCTTTCTGGAGGGGGGGGCTCCTCAAGAGCAGTGTGAGTGAGTTTGGGAAGGACTACTCTGAGAACAATGAGTAGAAGGAACTCACATAGTAACTTAACTGGTTTTAACTGGCGAAGGCTCGTAGATGTCATCAAAATGTTCCAACTGTTTTGAGCTGCTGTAGCTCCAACCCTCAGATACAGAGATGTAACTGTTCTGACGTTCTACAGCAGCTTTAGAATGAAAGATGATTAAATTTGGCTCTGTGAATTATGCTGTTGGGAAATGATGACTGCGTAGTAAAAAGCAGCTAATACTAATTGAGTGCTTGGTGAGCCATGGCACGGAGGGGAGCATTTTATATAACACGCAGTGTCTGATTTGATTCTCCTCCAAGCATCTCATCCCCGTGTTAGACTGGAGGAAACTGGCTTCTAACTGGGAGATTAAGGAATTGCACGATACGGCAGCAGGTGTGCTTGAAGCCAGTCCCAAACCAGGAAACATCAGGAAGCCATACTGGTTCTTCCTGTAACTAGGTTCTGTTGTCTGTGCCTCCTTAGCTAAGGGAATAGTGGCTTTTCATACTATGCCAGAATTTTAGAACATTCGTTATTGTGTGTTGTGTTTTTTTTTTTTTACTTTTTTTGGCCTTTTTGAGGGATCCACCACCCAACACACAAATAAATCACACAGGGAGGGTTATTCTTAGTTATGAATGCCCAACTATAGCTTGTTTTGTTTATAGCCAGTTTTCTTATGTTAAATTATCCCATCTACCTTTTTTCCTCTGGACTTTTATCTTTCTAACTGTTGTATATCTTACTTTACTTCTTACTGTGTGGGTGGCTGAGTGGGTGGCTGGTCCCTGGTGTCCTCCTCTCCTTGGTGCTCCTCGGTTCCTCATCCCTCCTTCTGTTTATATTCCCTACATGCCAGCCCCCCATCCTTGCTCCTGCCTTGCAATTGGCTGGTTGTTCTGCCTTATTAGACCATCAGGTGTTTTAGACAGGCAAAGAACCACAGCTTCACAGAGTTAAACAAATGCAGCTTAAACAAAAGTCACACACCTTAAAATAATATTCCCTAATGATTGTCTCTCAGCGGAAATTGTGTGTGTGTGTCTGCATGTGCGTGTGTATGTGGGGGAGTGTGGGGGTGAAGGTCAAGTTGTGTGTGTGTGTGCATGTGTGTGTTTGTGTGTGTGCATATGTGTGGGTGTGTGGGTGTGAAGGTCAAGTTGTGTGGGTGTGTCTGGGGGAGGGGCAATTCCCAAACTTTCAGAGCAAAGGAGATGGCCTTGAGTAGAGCCTCAGAGTTCCTGAGCACGGGTCCATCTTCGTGCCTCGTGTCTCCTGACGCTTCACATGCATAGTGTCCAGCCCCCTCACCCTCCACGCCTGGTCAGACACCTCCCCCTTACTTCTCTTTGTCCTAGCTGCAGGCTGAGAGCCCCCGTTTCTCTCCTCACTTCATCTCCAATGTCTGTAGGCGAGGCCTCTCTTGTCCCTTCAGCTCTCCTGAAGAGTCTGAAGGGGGGGGAGAAGATGAAGTCGGGCCACCTTTAACAGCTTGTGTGGTTGCTCCAGTCTCCCAGACATTAACAAAAGAAAGCTGGTTGGTGGCTTCCTAGGCGATGGAGACACTGAAGGAACTCAGGATGGGACTGCAGAGTGTATTTTTAGTGCCTGCAGCTTGTGGCAACGTAAGTGAAAACTGCTGGATCCCTTCCCTTCCCCTGAATGGCTGGTATTGAAGAGTCGATGCTCTCTCCCTGCCAGGCTCTCCTCACGGAACTCCCCTTTTATGAGGTGGGTGACTAGCTCCTTGGCACCAGGCTGCCCCGCCACAATTCTCCTTTATTGCCTAGCACTGATGCCCAGCTACATGACTCCACAGACAGCCTCGGCATGGGGCAAGGGGTACTGCTGGATCTCTGCTGGCTGTAAGCTTGTCAGGGTGTTACCAAGTTGTGAGGCGAAGTCTGCCGGGCAGGGGTTCCGTCTGGACACGCTGAGCCTTCTGGCATGAGGCTGCGATCAGAGACGAAGGAACTGTGGGAGTGAGGACAGGGGCTGGCCTTCCATCTCAGAGTGTTTCTGCTGTTACTTTAGTCTGCAGTGGGAAGACAAACCCCTGGCCACTGACGTGTTTGGGACATCTGAGGGACCTAGAAACTACCAGAGGCCCCAGGTATCCTGACAAGTCACTGTTGCTCCAGAGTTGAAGCAGATCTTAGAAAACCACTGGGGAGTCTCTGGAGAGAGTGTGTGTGTGTACACAAGACCCCATAGCATGCTCCTGGTGTCATTCAGAGTGGACAGAGGGCTGGAGCCTCACACTACTAAAAAAGGCAGACTAGAAACTTGCTGAAGTGCTTTAGGCAAATAACCATATTCCAGAATTCTCTTATTTAAGAGAAGTAGCCCTTGTCCTACCGACCTCACTAGAGCTCTCTACAGAACAGAAAAGGACTTTGGAACTCCTGAAACCATAACACGACTCAAAGTGGGCGTGGTGGTGGTGTTGGAGGGGATGAGGGGAGGCCAGGCCTGTCTGTCTACCTGTTCTTGTTTCTGACCAGCGTGGGACTGCATGTGGGGACTCATCTTCTCTATCAAAGAAAACCTCACTTTGGATTTTGTGCATTCAAAATTTGCTCACAAGGAGTCAAATTACTTCAGAGTACTGTGTAATGTTATAGATCTACTGTATGAAAATCTTAGAAATCATTAAGTGAACCAGGAAGCCCATACATGTTAAAGGCTAGATAAATTTTGGGGATTTGTTGGTATTCAGTTTTTATGATTTCACTTATTACATACTGACAGCGAGCCCAAATAACTTAAATATGAAAGTGAATTAGAAGCTAAAAACAGTTTTTAATTAGCCAGGACAATTCCATGCCAGTCAATGAGATTTGGAGGTGCTGGACTCTGAGGGGTGTCTCTTGACATCGTTGCTGTGTTCAGACAGACAAGTACATTAGTTGGAAAGCAGGGAACTGAGGTTGGTCAGGTAGCAGAGTCTAGGGAGAGGCTGAAACCAAGAAGCAAGGCTGAGCTGCCACCTAAAGGGATGTGAGCAGAATCCAGGAGAGAATCATGGGATAGGAGTGGAGGAGAGAGCAGGGTGTGTTTGAAAGAGTGGCAGACTCTGATGGAGTGCTCTATGCTGGATAGTTGTATGTCAGCTTGATAGAAGCTAGGATCATCAGAGAGGAAGGAGCCTCAATCGAGAAAATGTCTCCATAAGGTAAGTCTGCAGGCAAGCCTGTGGGGCATTTTCTTAACTAGTGATTAACTAGTGATTGACGTGGGAGTGTTCAGCCCATTGTGGGTGGGGCCGCCCTTGGGCTGTGGTCCTGGTTTCTAGAAGAAAGCAGGCTAAGCCAGCCATGAGCAAGCCAGTAAGCAGCACTCCTTCATGGCCTCTGCATCAGCTCCTGCCTCCAGGTTCCTACTGTGTTTGAGCTCCTGTCCTGGCTTCCTTTAGTGATGAGGAAGTGTAAGCCCAATAAACGCTTGCTTCCCCAAACTGCTTTTGGTCATGGTGTTTCAACACTGCCATGGTAACCTTAACTAAGATAGGCTCTGATGCAGATCAGTCCCTTCCACACACCCACTTAAAGTCCTAGATTACATTAGTTATGACTAAATACAATACCACTGCTGTGACAATACACACACACACACAGAATCTGTCAGTGAGTCTATTATGGAAATTTTGGAAATCGTGGTCTGGTACCAATTTTACTACATAAACTTTATACAAATAAAACTGGCCTCAACAGACACCCACAGCTAAACACTGAACTAAACTCCTGGAACCCAGTTGCAGAGAGGGAGGACCGGACTGGTGGAACCCACAGAAACAGCTGACCTGCACAAGGGAAAGCTCATGGACCCCAGACTGATGGCTAAGAGGCCAGCATGGGACTGATCCAGACCCTCTTAATGTGGGTGTCAGTGAGGAGGCCTAGGAAATCTATGGGGCCTCAGGTAGTAGATGAGTATCCCTGATATAGGAATAGACTTTGGGAGCCCATTCCACGTGGAGGGATGCTCTCTCAGTCTGGACACATGGGGGAGGGCCTAGACTCTGCCCCAGATGATATGACAGACATTGGAGATGCCCCATGGGAGGCCTCACCCTCCCTGGGGAGCAGAGTTGGATGGGATGGAAGGTTGGGGGCACTGGTGGGGGACAGGAGAGGAGGGGAGGGAGAGGGAGCTGGGATTGACATGTGAAGCAAACTTGTTTCTAATTTAAATAAAAAAAGAGAAGGGAAAAATAAATAAAACTGACTCAAATATCATTTAACAAGAATTAGGCATTATTTCTTTCAGAGTTATTTGTAGAGTGTTACAGATATAGTAGAAATAGTTAATGTCTCGTCATGGGATAGAGTTAATTATCTGAAATAATTTCAAGGGTGTTAGTAAAAAGATCTTGTTTTTCCCACTGGTCTTTCCTCAAACCATCAGATCACTACCGCTTGGAAGCGCCACTGACTCATCTCCTTTGTGTGTATTGCTAGAAACTTCAAGTCCTGCTGCGGCCATCCTGATGCCAGTCCTGGCTACTTAACTCTTGAGCCTCAGCAACATCCCTAAGGCAGGCTTCTCCACTTCCTTCCAGCTTACCCCTGCACAGAGATATCATGATGCCTGCACCATGCATAACCGCACTGGACTGTGCATCTTGTTCATTGTTTCATCGTGTTAATTTTGAATAGCCAAGCAGACTGGAGAAACAGCTAGAGAACAGAAACCACCACATTTTCACAGTTTCATGTTCTATAGCACTAATAAAATCATTTGTGTGCTGCTTCCTGCAGAAAGTCCTTCGTGCTCCTGGATCGGGCTACATACTTCTCTATACAATGATAATATCCTATTGTCTCCCATTTTTGTGATACATGTATTACAACTGGCTGTATTGTACATGGCTGTCCTCTCCCTTCCCCCTAAATACTGAGTTCTAGTACTCAATGAAAGTAGCATCCACAATAACCTGGTTTACAGCTGACCCTCTGACTTAGTCACAGCAATGCTTACAGAAGAAAACATTTAATTGATGCTGGCTTGTAGTTTCAGAAATTTAGTTCGTTATTACCATGGTGGGAAGCATGGTGGTGTGTAGGCAGACATGGTGCCGTAGATGAAGCTGAGAGTTCTACGTCCTGGTGCAGGTAGCAGAAAAGGAAAGTCACTAAGTCTGGCTCGGGATTTTGCAAACCTCAAAACCCACCTCCAGTGACACACCTCCTTCAACAAGGTCACACCTCCCAATCCTTTCAGATAGTTGTCACTCCCTGGTAACCAAGCATCCAAATCTATGAGCCTGTGGGGGTCATTTTCATTCAAACCACCACACCCTCTAATACTCAACCTAGATATTCTGTTTTGTCTAAGTCTTGATACATAGACTATGATCAATAAGTAGTTTAAATTGAATAATGATTTTTAAACACACGTTTGGATAATATCAGAGGATTAAGGCAACTGAGGTAAACCGACCGAGCAGAACCCATGCTATCACAGCATTTTGGCTGATTTAGTATGTGATGTCACAGACCTGTTCTCAACGATGCAATGAATCAGAAAAGCAGCATTTGGTTGTATATGCCACTGTTTTCAAACTTATTTTCTAGATGTGCACAGGACAGCATCTTTGACATCTGCATGTCCCCCACAGTTCCTGCCTCAGTGAGTGCACCTGGATTTGCTGTTGTTAAGTACCGTTTGAAAAGAAGTTTGTGTTCTAATAGATTTACCTGGTTCTAAACATCTGTTGCTTCCTAACAAGTGCTGCATTCATGTAAGTGGCACCGGCACAGAGGTAAACAGAGCTCTGGCAGGTTTTCCATGAGGGAAACTATGTTTGCTTCCTTCATTAATTACTAATGGAGCATTAAGACACGAGTTCTCTCTGAGCCAAGTTGGATAATTCCTGGCACTTAATTCGAGGGTGCTTTCAGAAGCAGAGACATGTATTGACATACCAGAGAGCTTGCTTGCCCTGTAACAAGCACAGCAGTGGCTACAGAGCCAGGGTTTTACTAAACTTCAAGTATACTGATACCAAATGCACTGATCCTTTGGTTTAACCTTTGCAGTTTGTAGGTTAATTTGGAAAAACAAATTAATTTAGGGGAAAAAAACCGTATTCCCAGAGTACTTCTGAAAGCACTTTGTGACTTGGATAACACTTTATGAAGATCCAGAGTGGTTAAAAATAAAGACATCAAATAAGAGGAATGAGAGTAACAAGCTAAGAACAGAATTACAGACCATAACAATTACCTACAGAATTAAAATGAAGGATTTTATTCCTGTGGGCACACCAGCTAACATAGCATTAGAGTGACAGCATGAAAATAGTAGGAAATAAGAGACTGACAGATACTTATTAGTCATAGTAGATTTTTAGCAAATATGTCTTAATGTGAATTATGATAAAGTATGGAAAAGGACATAAGACAATATAAATAATATTGAATATTGACCATATTTACTTATGAGTTACACAAAATAGCTTACTTTAAATGTTCACATAATTAAAGTGGTCCACAAAAGAAATGCCTGTTTGTTTTGTTTTGTTTTGTTTCAAGGCAGGGTTTCTCTGTGTAGCCCTGGCTGTCTTGGAATCACTCTGTAGAAAAGACTGATTTCAAACTCACAGATCTGCCTGCCTCTGCCTCTCAAGTGCTGGGATTAATGCTGTGTGCCACCACTGCCCAGAAATACAAG